ATCGATGAATTAATTCGCCCTATTGGATCTCTTTTTCTCTGTGCTCTACCTGACCGCGTCGCTTCAAAAGTGCAATTTGGCTTCTGTTACCAACCCCGTGTTTTTATGTATGGGATAATCGAAGAGCGTAATTTAAGAGAGAATAGTTGAAGTACGGCTGCATGGTTTGGTGGGAATTTGACATAACCACTGTGAGAAAATTTGTCAATTCTCTAAAGACACGGTACACATTTTTTTGTGAATAATTTCAAACTCATAAAGCGAGCTGGAAAAAATTGTGTTTTTAGACTTGAACCAATTGGAGGTGACACAGAGTGAAATGAAACAAGTTTTACAATTATTATATATCCGTTGAGCAAGTGCATTCTGAATCGCAGAGATCATAAGCAAAACGTTGGGCATATCGCTTTAATCTAACTGGATGCATATGCTGTAGAGATGATATTGTGCACGAATAAAATGTAAGAATAGATCAGCGAGCAACAACTGTTGAATAAACAGTTTCAGTAAGCCGCAGATGAGACGCCAGCTGACGATTAACTCCTTTATTGTGCTCATTTTCATTTTGCTTCATTCTCATATCAATTCTGTATTCACATGCGTTCTAAAACTGTCTCATATTAATCTGAATCCAGAACAGGTTTCGCTTTCAAGTATAATTTATCAAATCACATTCAATTTGCAAATGAACATTTTTCATAACTCTTCATCAAATTATCCATTGAATAAGTGTTGTTTTATGTGTGAACTCAAAAGTTGACTCCTAAAACACAATATCTAGTAACTCTCATACCACTACCGCATATAACTGATGTTTCTGTCACTTTCAATGTGTCTAAAATCCCGCTCAAGACAAAATTATTTTTCACGCCATATTCACAAGCAAGATTATACAATCATCTGTAACTGATTGAAACAGACACGAATAAAAAAAGCTTTCAGTATACTGGTGCGTGGTTCCGAATTGCACATTTAGGACCAACCGTTGATTATTTACCCCAAAGCGCAACTGCTGCGCTTATGAAACTGATTCCGAATGGAGAAAATTTGAATATGATTGAATATTACGAGAGGTCATCTTTCATTTCATTTTTTTGTTGGATGTTAAGCATAATTTTAAAGATTATTCGATATTCACAAAAGATCGTTCACTACAAGAATGGGAAGATGGGAATTTCTAAAAAAAGTATATGTCCTCGTTTTGAAAATATAAAGATAATGAAACAGTTCATCCTGAATGAACCCAAAACTCATTCTCGTAAATCGCATCATCACCCATCTTCTTCGTAGCATAATGCTTGTTTCCCATTGTAATCTTTCGTTTGTGCCAAATGACCATAATGAATTTATAAGAACAACGGCAGTTAGATTATAGAATATTTTTGAATAATATATTTAGCAACTTATCTCAACTGTAGTCTGTTTCAGCAACGAATACAATGTCATATGACATTTATATGCGCATTATGACGCAATAATATCTCATAATGATTGCGTGCTGTCATTAAGTTGGTATATTTTGAGGTTAAAAATGCAAAAACTCACTTCAGTTTTACTTCATGAGAACATTGCACAACTGCTTCGAACCCCTTTCACGGTTATGTCAAATGATGATTAATGCACAAATGAACGCTTTTTCAAACAGCACAAATTTCCACGGTCTAGGCATCATAATAAATATTCAGTGGAGATTAGTGTTCGTCGGGGAGCACTTTTCGGCCGAGGGAGGGGTCTCCGCGGGGAGAAAACTGGACGGAGGAGGTCCCCGCAAAAAAAGTCGAGCAAATTGCCCGGAGGTTCCTTTTAAGGAGTTTTTTTTGTTGAAAATTCCGTTTCAGCTTTTTAATAGAATTTTCCTTCTGGATATGAGAATGAAGTCGTTTTTCAATGATAATGTTTCAAATAACAAGTTGCTACCATTCAAAAACTTCGCAATGTTATTTGTTCTAATTCACATTTACTGGAAAAAAAACCAAATGCCAATCAGTATTAATAAAATAAGAACAAGAACAAATCAAACGCATCATGAACGTCATTAGCGGTATTTCGTTATTTTGAGTTGATTGTTCACGATATTCGCGAAGGTGCGACGCACTCCCCGTCCTCCCCGTCGGGGAGCGAAGGTGGACAGGGGGGGGATCCTCACCAAAAAAGTCGGGGAGCAAATTGCGCGAGGGGAGCGCTCTCTGCGTTCTCCGTCGGGGACCCCGTTCCCCGACGAACACTATTGGAGACTGTACACGTATTCTAGTTTAATTCAGCAATCAAACTTGCCATGGACCGATTTATGGCGTTTGGGTAAAGCAAGTGAACGGATATGTGATGCGTGTTCGTGTTGAAAACACCGTATTCGAAAGTTGGTTTCATCTTCATCGCATTAAAGCATAAGAAACTGAAACAATACTTTTTCCAACATAATTCTAAGTTTTGATTCGGTTTAATATTATTTTGATGTATTCACTTCAATGAATTCATTCCTATCTATTATAGGCATTTGTAATCGAAAAAAATGCTTGAAACGAATTGTCACTAATAGAAATATATGGATTAGTTGAAAGAACGTTTACGATTCACCTCTTATGAACACTGAACTTAGTAATTTTGTAAAATTCAAACTATTAAATAGTAACCAAAATTTAGCTCTTGAAATGTTGGGTTTGTAGCATTTGAATTGAAACGACTAATAGGCAATTGGAGATAGGATGAAGACAAGTTATGATTCGAATAACGAATATCATGCAATAGACAAAACTACTTAATTTTAAAAGAATTCCTGTTGGTTGTGTTCTTTAGCGATTCTCAATCAGGTTTCCGTGCTCACTGCAAATATGCAATCCGTTTTTCCGCAGCATTACTCGTTGCCGTGTTGTGGTATGAAATAAGTTTCTCGCTGCGTTGGTGATCCTTACTAGCATGGCGTCAAGAATTGTTTTAATGTTTTATTCATCTATAGGTCAGCTGTTCATGCTGATTCCAAAGTGTATGATCGGTTGCATAGTATCAACGTTCTTCACTAATTGAAAATGTTAACTAGGCTTATTACTATAGTGTTATCGCTGATCAGTTATAGTGTCGAGGTTTTTTGGTCAATTAATTTTTCAAAATCCCTTCTGAATGAACGGCTCATGATTATATGCTGTTTCAGTTTATTTTGCACATCCTCAGTCGTTACTTCAAAGTCAGGTTTTTCAAACAATATCGCCACGTATTCGCAGAGTGTGGTGGAAAGTTCCTGTTAAGCTTTTAAATGTGAAGTTACGGTTTCGCAGACTGTTACGAGAGTTATGGCTTGTACAGTGTTTGAGGCATGCTAGTCTCTTGAATGAACACTAGAGTGCACGAATTTGTGTTTTTTGTTAGTTTTTATGTTGAAGGAAGGTAGTTTATGAAACGGAGAATATCTCAATAAAGAAGTGTGCCGCGGAGAAGTGGATTGCATATTTGAAATGAGCGCATTTGATGGAAAACGCGTGCGAAATCGACTTAAAAAATCCTTTCAGCAAAATTTAGTGATATATAATGTGATTATTAACGTAGTTGAATTTAACTGTAAGTAGTAATCATGCAGTGGCAATACAAGCGATATTCCATGATTATTCGGGTGAAGATAACGATGAAATGAACATGGTATTATATGGCTGTCGTCGTTTCAAGACTGACGACAGCTGTGAAGTCGGTGAACAAATGGCTTCAATTGTTAGCAATTCAAGACATCCGCAAACATTGGCCGTAGGTTTTTTGATTGCATGTAAGAACAGGTATTGCTTTTACGATTGGCTTCATCAAATTTTGATGACAAGTCTAAGTGCTTCGATGAACGATTGCCTCTAAGCGCATTGCATTTACCGAATTATGCCATGTGAATGCATGCTGCATTAAAAACGAATGCTTTTCATTATATCATTCAGTCATAAATTACGCATAACACAAAAGCGTACGCAAGCGATTTTTCATAGCCCAATATAATCATTGTTTTATGTGGATGATCCCATTTCGCTGCTTATCAGCAGCCGTTTATTTCAGCTTTTCAAATCAGCGAAACATCTTGAAGATAACATTTGTATCGATATATTACGACTGAAGACTCTGAACACATACTGTTAGTCGATTATTCCTCTGCAACTATTCTGTTACTGTAGAAGCTCAGTAGTGTCTAACAGATAAATAATGATAGTCCTAAAATGAGAGTTTGTACTAATAAACCTCAACGAGCATGAGAAGTTATCCGAAGCATTGTGAAAATGAGCAAAATTCAGCAGAAAATATATTCGTATTTTCTAATGAAGCAGAAAATATTTTCATCTTTTTTGCAATCTTTGTTCTTTCTTCTCCAATTATGGCTGACAAATAATAGATGATCGGATAATAGCCCAGTTTTTGGGGCAAACAATAAAGTAATCGTTATGAAGTTTCAAATTATGTAATAATTCTCTAAGTTAATCATTGATTTATATTATTTGCAGCGTCATGTGGTGATGAGATTGTGGATAATGATCAAAAACTTGTGAATGCGCAAATAGATTCAGAAGGTGAATTGATCGAAAGCGAATGCAAAGTTGATAACTTTCGTAAAATGAATATTGCCAATTTTTTCGTACGCATTTTACGTCTATTTCAAAATCCAAACTTTATTATTTCAAAATCTGCATTTCTTTTATTACGTGTTGATTGAGTACTTGAAAGATTGCATTATTCTCCAATATCATTCGCTAAAATATGTTAAAATCAAAAAACATCGTTCATCACGTTTCGATATATTCCATCTTACCGAATGTTATTAATGTATTATAATGATGCAAAGCCGCTGCCCATCGATTCAGGATGAACCTAGAACGCTGACCGTTACCGCATTCATGGATCCAGTTTTATTAAAAGAGGACATTTCACATATAAGCTGTTTTTTCACAAGCAAGTATGAAGCCAACTGCGAATGGATAAGGTGCTTCTTCATTCGTTGACTAAATTTTCCTTCGTCATACGAGAGAGTATCTATTGATGATTAGATGCGTGCAGTTTTCTTTCCATCTATCAGGAATTAGGAGTTTAGCTCAGAATTCTCACATCAATTCAAACTCAAATAGAAATGAGGGCATGAAGTTAATTGAAGGCATGAAATGTGTTTCAAAAGTAATCTGACACAGTCGTTTCAAGATGCGTTTACGATTGAATCGTCAACGATTCTACAGCTGAAAAACACTTCGTCAATCGATATCGACTGTAAGTCGGATCGATTCATTTAGATGAACTTATCAATTGATATAACACAGTTTGATACATAACACTCTATTATATTAATTCATTGATGTAACACTTTCCGTCTGTTCATTCATACTCAATTGCTCCATTAGTGATATCTAACAATAAGATTAATTCTCGAAAAAGAAACATGAGATTACCAGTTTTCAGTTGTTTCTACCAACACCTCACCAGAGTCTTAAAAATTACTTTCGCTATTTGAAAATCATTGCTAATAATTGCTTGGAGAATTAACGAAAACATTTTATTCGAAGAAACTATTCATTTGCCACTTAAATACTGCAATGAAATAATTTAGGGTCAGGAACGCTTCTTTGGCATAATGGTGATGAATGCATCATTTATAAGTGCATTGATATCAATGAAGATGGCACTTGTGATCAGGTTAACTGATTTCTGCAATTCATTGAATAGAACGTCATCTAACATTCATTCAATTCTAGTATCGTATCTATGTGTGGAGTGATGAAGATTTGATGGATCAACCAACCATACGTACGATCTACGATGAACTTGATACGATCTGCTGTGATCCGACAAACCTCATTTTTCTGAACACATTTCGTGAGCTTTATCATTCAGTTGTCGCTGAACATCAACCAATTAGCCTTCATTTATGTTTCACCTTTTCAAATTGTGCACTTGAGAAAGGATTTTTGGTACAACCGTTGCGTACGCATACAATATCGCATTTAATTACTCCCAACTAGCAGTTCTCTTTCTTGAATAGATTCCCTTAAAAACTCTCCCTCGGATACACATCCAAAAAAAAATTCATCCACTCACGTACACAATTCATGCATAAACTACAGTTTCTTTTCTGATTTTTAGAGTTCTACATCGTCCGCCTTCAATATATTTACCTCCTTACAAAAAAACTGCGAAAATTGCTTACTCTTAGGTGCTGATTACCCCCACCTAACAGTTCGCATCGAAAGATTTTCATCAAGGAACGTGTACTCAAACGAGTCGCTATAACATTTGTCAAGCAGTGACTAATTAGATCTTAATATTTTTCCTTTTTGACGCAGATGAATGTGATGAGGCGAACATGGTGAAGGTACCATCAGTGAAATGTGGCTTACTACCTGGATGGTCACCGGTTAACACGCAATTATTAGAAGGCGTTTGGTTTTTTGCAGCTGATATCAATGCTGATCCAAAAATTTATATGCAATCAGCAGTCGTTGAAATGACAACGAGTAGAGCAAGTTATGCTGATTGTTTCAATACTCAAATGACAGTCCTTTCCAAAAGTTCAGCTATTGTTTCGCTTTGAACAATAACACTGATAACGATTACAAGAACCTTACGTTAAATGCTCAATAGATCAAGCATCATCTTTTCTGTCTTAAGAACAACCCCTTCAATGAAATGTACTTTTAGCAATGAAACATTCAATATACGATTCTTTGCGTTAAGAGAATCTGATTCATATTGTATTGGCCCTGGAAATGGAACAGTGAAATTGATACGACATAATTCGACAATGATTGTTCAAGTGAAAAACAGCGATGAATCAGTACCTGAATTGCAGAATAATTATATTACATGTTTGTTAATCACTGATTTTACTGATTCAATTAATAGAATCTTTTATTCGGTAGAAAATTTGTTTCATTTAGTAGCAAATTTTTTTTTCTATTGGTGATGAAATAATTTCGAATAAGTTAAAATTGATCGCCAGTACATCATTAATCATACCAAAAATTAACGATCAAAATTTTATTACATGGAGTATTTTCTTTTTTGAAGAAAATTCACTCACTTTGAGCTGAAAAAAAAGTTCGAAGAGCAATCCTTCAAATAACTATCAAACCATCCACTTAGGATAAATCTGAAAATTTATGATTGGTTCGATATAAAGAGTGCGATAATACAGATGTAAAGACTCGAAAAAATGTCAAAAAATTATAATATTATGCAAAATTTCAACAGTACTAGTGCAACAACAGATTGGTTAGAATTGATTCCATTGAGAATGTGCAAACGAATGAACTCATTTGTTCAGGGCAAAATCAAATTCTTTACGTAGATAACTTGCGAATGCTGCTTTATTGGTGCTTCAATCGTGCACAGAATGGCTCTTGCATACAATATGATGTGGATATATTAGTGCGCACTCGGCATTTGGCCTATCATGATCTAGCAATTCTAGATCCATATTTAAAAATGGCTTGTGTTAGTCATGACCAACTCAGGTGGTTCGATCTGCATTGTAAGCACCCTTTTGCACTCATATAATGATAATTTATGATTATTTCAAGTAATGATTCAAGTTTGTATGAGTTTTCAACTTGATCTTTTGATGGGTCGTCATTTTTAATGCTGTGAGATATTTGTGAACTCAACAAACTCCAGTTCAACATTAAGCTCGTTGTGGTTTGGATATGAGTCAAACAACGAAATTGCGAAGAACGGTGATGACGCTTTCTCATAAGGAAGTACTCGATATACTTACGAATGTGCAAGAACCTCGGTGTAAGAAAGAGCTGCTCAAAGGTCTTAAAGTTGACTTGTCAGCGGTTAGTTAAACAACAATCGGGCATTACATCCTTCATATCACGTAACCTAAGTGAATGCAAAATAATTCAATATTGCTCCTCAATAAATAAATTTGCTTATCCAAAACCATTAGTTCCATCAATTTTTGATGCATTGCCGAAATGCATACATGTCAAAAATGCATATATGAACCATTCAAAGTGACCAGATTTAGATTGAAAAAGCTGGTAAATGGCTACTCGTTTCACGTTATGATCATTTTGAATTCGACACATACGCTATGATTGGTCGAATACGATTAATTGAACCTGGAAAAGCGATCGTCAAAGTTTTTCAATCTGCGTGAGCTGTTGTTGTTGAGTGTTTCTTGGAAAATAATAACTCAGAAGTTTTCGCTATTGTTTTCAAATGAAACTGAATGCTGTGCTGTGTTATTCAGACGAGCTCTTTGAATAATGATTTTATGGCTCTATTAAGAGGGAATGACTTGTGATTGCTTTTCAGTGCAAGATCGGGTTCACAGAAAAAATGCTACCAACGAATGTTTGTTTTGATTGAACATGCTGACGGTGATGATAATGGCGATATCACTTATCACCTTTACTTTGAATCATTGCTGGGTTCGAAAGCGTTCAGTAAGCTATTTTTAGTGTGTTCGTCAGTTTTACTCCAGTTCAAGAAAGAACTGAATACAAGCTGTCTTCAGTCAAAGCCTCAAAAATTTTCCATCCTTAAAAAGTACGTTCCGATGGATTCAATATTTTAAATCCACTAAACATTAATGTCCTGAAACTCAACTACTGAATTTCTTTGGTGATAAATTAATGAATACAAAATTTGAAGTGATCTTACGCTTTCTCTTCATGAATCGCCATGTTGGAGTAATTTATTCGTGTATTGCCTATAATAAAACTGGACAATGTGCTGAGAATGCTCTTTATGTGATATCGCGACATGAGTCAATTGATCACACTGAACTGAGTGTTCTTGAAACAGTTGCGAATAGTGTTTGTATACCGGTTGAGCATCTCGTTCATGTCGCATTTCATGGTTAATATCATAATCACTATTGTTAAATCTTTGTTATTCTTCCTCATCAGCTTTTTATAGCAGCCAACGTTTCGAATCGTTGCATAGAACAACAATTCATTGCTCAACTTTCTAAAACAGAAACAATATGAGATTTTTCGATCATTTGACGAAATGTGATAAATTGATGAATTAAATTTGTCCACTGATGCATAAACAGAGAAAAGAGAAAAAAATCGAAAATGTTCAGTTACGATACAATAGAATCGATCATTCGGATTTTAGATATGGGATTACGAACATCACCAATTAAAGTTATATACTTCTAAATGTTTCAGATGATTGCATCCACGAGAACCATCATCTTAAATTGGCCACAGTAGCGTTCTCAACTGTTTCAGTACTTCCTAAACCAGTAACATTCGACGAAAATATCCAGCAACTGAAGCATCGTTATAAGAATAACACATATTTTGCTATTGCATCTTCATCGCCTGAACGACAACCATTCCTACTGAAGTTTAACAACGGATATGTTCAAAAGGTTTACCAAAGGTATTCAGCTTAACTTAACACACGTCAACCTGATCATAACATCAAACTCACTGTCTTATTGCATTTGCAATCAATTAACTAATTTCAAAAGTTCATTCAACTCTTATTAAGTGATGATGGCTGTGCGCAACATGAGGTAAATGTGTACGCAGTAGAATCGAACGAGATGTTGGTCGTAGTCAACGCAAATGACCTGGTTCTTTTATCAGCGTTCGCACTTAATACTAACCTCATCATTCAGTTAGCACAATATTCTGGAGAATTTCCATCCTTATTACCTATCAAATACGACTATACAATTGTTAATCAAACTAAATGTGAAGCACTCTTAAAGCCTTCATGTCTCCCAAAACCAATCCATTTTCATCCATCGCAGGTTCGTTTCTTTCGAAGATTAACTGTTATTGCTTAGCCGAGATGATCATACTGAACATGCCTATTTCGAGATGAACGGAATTTGGATAATGAAAGAATCACTTCATCGAACTGTTGCAAATATGCGATGTGTGGTGGAAAACACAACTGATGAATATCGTAAGAAAGCAGAATGCATTGCTGAAAGGTAGATTTGCAAGTATAATACGTGAATCTCTCTTAGCTTCTTTTTTTCCCCCGAAACATGAGGACCAAAAACTCCTGACCTATTTAATGCTGCATAAACAGTGATACTTCAAATTTTAGTATTAGTGGAGAATGCATCCGACGAGAAATATGGGAAATAATCATTCACATGAATAACACCTATGAGCTGAAAATCAATGACGACGTTCCAGTTCACATGACCTCAGAGGTGAGATTCTGTCATTGGTGAACAGTACGAGCAAAAGAACGGTAATCATTGCCATAACTGAATGAATCAATTAATTTGCGAACAAAGAGTTAATTTAGGTAGCAACCACAGGTGAAGTGGCAATGCTCAATGAACACTTCGCAATACTATATTCCACTTGTGATCAATATTGCACTCAATTACCCGATGAACGTCGTGCAACAGTTTGGACTCGAAACGAAAGTACCGAATTGAACGATTCAGTGCGAAACGTGCTTCAAAATCTATGCATTCTAGATGATGAAATGGACAATAAGACTGGTGAGAGCAAATGTTGGTGAAGTATATTGGGACAGAACTGTGACTTCGTATTTTAAGAATCTATAATCGATAATACATGTTCTTCGTTGCTTATGTCGAAGAATATCAATCAATCAATATCAAAAATTGCTTTTGCAAATGAATATCGCTTGCGATGAGCTAATTAGTCGCACGTTCACAAAATCCGTCGCTTCTTGTGAGTTTATTCTAAAAACTGGTTACGAAATCTCGAAAAACTAATCCAATCAATGTGTGGTGGAAATCATCAGCGAAAGAACGAAATTGCTGTATCACCAAATGAACAATAGTTAAAAGAGATGAATAAATAAAGAATCAACATTTTGTTTTTGTAAACATTTGTAAAAAATCAACATTTTTGTAAGATCACACTTGTTGCATTCCTAATCAGTAACATTCAACAGTGAACGAAAAACAAAATGTTGTTTATGCTTTCTTGAGAATATTCTTCCGATTTTGAGTACCAATGTTGATCACTGCTTCTTTTATGCCATCAATCGCCATTCGAACTGATGGATAGAGATGCTCCAACTGACTGCTATCAAGCGTGCAATGTGCACGAGAACGAAGTACTTTGTCATCCTTCTGAATACAACACAAACCAATTTCTTCTCTTTACAAATTCACAAGTTTAATGAACTATTCAATCGATTATTCCCACTCAATTCAAAATCAATCCATAAAATTTCAATAATGAATGCACTCAAAACCTCAATAATGACACATAAAATGAACAATCATTCGAAACATGCATAAATTCGTTTAAAGAATAAACTCAGCGATGATCATCCATTGTAACACAAAATTTAAAATGTTTACCTCAAGTTTAACCACTTCACATTTTAAGTTGGGATCCACAAGTTTCCTATAAAGGTCTATGATTTGTGGATAACGAACTGGACCTGGATTCACCAAGTTGATTGTACCACAATATCTATTGATGGCGAGATCGAGAAGGATGGGAAGACAATCGGGAAGGAGTGTTACCGAATCAGGAATATCAAATACCTTATTGAAAGTGATCATCTGCAAAACAATGAGTAGAGTAATCAAGCATTAAATTGATTAATCATTAAAGGCTGACAGCTGTCGCAACCAATAAAAATGTGCATACTTTCGCAATCAAATTTCTCTTATCGAGGTCATAATTGATGGGCAACCGAATACGAGCGTTCAATGTGGTCGTATAGTATCGTATCAACCAATCAGTTCGACCCTTAACTGCAGAATAGCTTGTACCCGAATAATTACCATAATCACCCTCCTGAAAAATCCCAAATAAATCAAAAATGATTGCTAATTCGTAAGCATTTAGTCAAAATAACAACCAACTAACCGTGTATCCTTTACCATCGTACTGATGTGATTCATTATACTCAAAAATACACCCGGTTCCCAAATAAGTAAAATGTATTCGCAAACGATTGCAAATACTTGCCAACAGACATGGTGCATACAAATTATCACGCACATTTTCATTCAATTTATCTGGACCTCCTTCCAAATAATCAACATTATTACAACCTGAAATATCAAATATTCATTGAAACTGCTTTTCAACATTAATCAGAACAACAAGATTTTTAACTGCTAGTTGCTATGTAAATAATAGCTGTATAAAAAATTATAAGTAAGGAAAACTCAGAATTAAGGCCATAATAAAAATTATCGTTGGATTACAAGAGGGTAAAATATGGGCATAACCTACCATCGCCATGAGTGCGCCCAATCATGCTCACCACATGACTTGGTGCTGAATGGACGATTTCGTCGAGTATCAGTTCATCTTCATCCTTTCCAGGATATCTTTTCGCAATTATACAGTCAATCATCTAAACGAATCAGTGATCGATGAAGCAAATAAGGAAATAATTATCAAATAGCACACTGCTATCAATCCATTCACAAAACAGTGAATCAACCACAAGCATATCGCGACAACGATTGAAAAATTCAGATACTGAATACAGTGAAGAACAAATCAGATGCGAGATAAATATAAAAATTATGATCAGCTTCAGTTTGAAGCACTCAATTAGAAGGAATAAGGAACGGAACTGATCAGTTTTCCAAACGATGCCATTAATAGAAGATTACATTGAATTCAAAAAGAAGATCAATATTCTAAGGAATATACCTTGTCTTTAAGTATTCTAACAAACTGCTCTCCGATCCATCCTCGAGCACCATAAACCAGAAATTTTAATGGAACATTCTGAGCAGCTACTTTAGTGGTCAATCGATTGGTGTTGTGCTGATCGTGAGAATTTTTGACGGCTGAAGTAATTGGACGAGTGCACTGATTTTGGAAAGAACGAGTGACATGTACACAGATAGTTATATTAATCGATTATGAATGAATTTATTCAGCTGATTTCTTGCTCTTGATATTTATCATCATATTTCTATTGCCGTTTTTATTTCTCATCATGACATTGTTCCGCTTCAAACGATTCCGCTTAAAACCACATTTTCCACTAGGTTTTAACAGAAATTTGCTTGATTTATAGTGTATGAATCGATGAGAAATATTAAAAAAACAACCTTCAAGAAGCGATATTTGTGGACGCCAACCAAGTTGCTTGTATGTATCATGAACGCTCATTGAAGCTGTGGGTAGATCAGCATCAGTGATTTTTTCACCAGATCGAAACTTCAAAAAAGCAAAAAACTTAAACTTCAAGCAAATTTATATAGAAGCACTAGCTAAGAAAACAAAATAATTGACAAAATATGATAGAATAATCAAAACTGGTTGGTCACACACAGCTAATGATGATAAAAGTGGATATCACTGTGCAACAAGAACTCACTGAAAAAAGCTGCATAACGATGATAACGTATATCTAATCAAAATTTAACCTTCTCTAAAAGTTGCTTCAATTGTGTTAGTGTTACTTCTCTTTCACCTCCAATATGATATATCTCTCCAGGTTTACCTTTATTTGCACAAGCCAGCAGTCCATGAATTACATCACGTACATCAATAACATTTTCGGCACAATCACCTATGGAATCGGTTTTCTATCTCATATGTAAAACATACACTCATCGTAACAATACCATTCAACACATTAGTAATCCAACGATAATTTTATCGTTGGATTGATCATGAGCCTCTAATGTTTGTTTTTTTCAGACTTGAAAATGATACTTTGAGTTGATGACTGTGTGATAGTATTCCAACTTATTGTTGCTCCGAAAATCTTTGAAGATGTACGAGCAATTATAATTGGTAGATTGTAACCGATAACGTATGAGTTTATCATCGCTTCACAAGCGCCTAATGTAGCTGCATGAAATGTTATTGGCATTATCGTTCCCGTTTCAGTTTTTTGTGAGAGCTTTCCAAACACCTGAAGACACCAACACTTTACAGTAAACAAGTGAATATCTCATGGATATAAGAAAGCTTTTTTGATGCATTCTTTGTAAGAAACTAATAAGATTCATCACCAACGCACTTTTGCATCATTGTCAATCATTCTTTTTGCACAGGATCTTCAATTACTGCATTTTGATTTCTTGGCGAGATTTTACAATTTCATGAGGAACAAGTTGTACTTCTATGCGTTGATCACAACATTGTAGCAAACCAGTGATTAAGAATAATTTAAAGCTGAGGAAATTTGCTAGCAGAAAATTTGGTTCTGGTGTACAATTGAATGCTTTGTTTCGAACTTTGACGTCATCGAAAATACTGATCAATAAAATATTCATTGAAAATTCGTCGAAGTTGAGTGGGTTAGGAAGGAAACGGTTAAAACGAATGCGCTTTTCGCCGTTAAAGTGAGAAATTTTTAGATATTCAGTTGATTAAGAAAACCTGTTCCGAGCTCATGAAAACGACTGAATCCAATTTTGGGGCGGTGCGTATTGCCTCCAGAAAATGAGTTATACCGCACAAACTGGTCCGAATATTCTCCAGTTTCCCAGTGTTTTCACTTTGAGCATTCCAAAGCGGTAATATAAACACATCCGTGATCTTTAGAAAACAAACGAATTGAAAAAAAAGAGGGAATGGAATGAATGAATAAATGTGCGAAACTAACGAAAGTTAAGGTTTATCAGTCATATTTGATGAAGAATTTACGAATGCGAAATAGCAAACGTAAAATTAAGATGAATGCTGATTAAAATACGATGAGGAACTGCTCATGCAATTTGTGAATGAATGAATAACAACTCACATTGTGATCACGAATGATATCCATAATTAAATTTTCATTTGAATATTCACCAATAAGAAAATGCAAACGTTCGGAGGATTGCTGTTGAATATCACTGCATAATGGAAATGAATCATTTATTGCACTCTGTAGAATCGTTACAAAGCACTCTGGATTAGAATCCAACAAGACATTTGCTAAACGCTTTTCAAATGAGCCATAGCCTCCGATTATCAAATAATTGCTCTTTTTACGAATCAATAATCCCATATTTCAGTTCGTGACCAATCTGTTAATTAAGCATCACTCAAATCGTGCGTCAATAAACATTCTACCGATATTATTTGCGCAATAGCAATACTCATGTTTCATGGAGATTCACTGAAAATCAAGCACACAAACTATGAACGACAAAAATCTCTAGTAAGCTCTATAATGCTCTGTAATGGCTAATTTTCTATAAGCTGTGGACGATTCAGCTTAATTAGATACAGACCGATAGGAAGAAAGGATACTGAGTATACTAGAATAACTTTAAAAATGCGACTCAGTGCAATGAACAACCAATACAAATTACAGCCAATTTAATATTCCTACCAAACTCGACATATACAATTGACACGAACGGTTGGTTATCTCAAATGACAAATCACAAGCACACAACTGTGAATGAGCATGAAACTATTTGCGCGACGGTTGATTATCAATGTGGGATGGGAACAGGAACGTATACAAGAGCATGAGTTCAAGGTAATAATATCATTAGAGAGTCATTATTGAATAATCGATCGAATACTGTAATATTTCTAACGCAATTACAGTAATGAGAAAAACAACTTGTCATCACATCGCAAAACGAAATTTCACATGAAATAATACAGTCACAACAATGTCGGCTTGTTTTATTATGAACAATTATTGTTTTAAAAATCTATGATCAATCTGCGAATGATACAATTCATCACTTGTTAAATTACCAGTCGAATCGTACAGCATCAAACCTTCTTGCTAACAACAAGCACCATATAATCACTGCACAACTAAAGTATCTTCAATGAAGCATTAATGACATGACGTCAAATAATGAAAACCTGATCAGTCTAACGCCGGATCGTGCTCCTTCCATTTTCACGGATGCATCCATCCATTGATAATACCTCTCCGTATCATCTTTAATAGTTTCTTAATTCTGAATCAACTGTAAGTGAACACTAACACTTTTCGCTTCAAATATGTGAATGAAATCAGAGATTGAAAATGACCATAAATAGACTGTAAACGAGTGAAACTCATCAAAACCCTCACAGATTCGCTTTTACAGTGATTTGTGAATGAATCTGCGCTCACATTCAGAGATATTTTTTGAGCATTTACAAAGGATGAAAGTCAGCAAACTAGTGCATTTTATCAAGACATCTGTCCTATGTTCTTCACTCGGAAACACTCAGTATTTAAAAAAAAAAAACTTTCTTAAACAATTAGCTATTGCAATGAAGCAGTTAATAAAATAATTTTAATGATTCCAAAACTGTTCGCATGTTTCACAGTATTCAATGTATTACAGTCAAGATCACAAGAGTCAATCAGATAAATTTTACGTATTGAACGCACCGAATCTTGCAAATTAATAGGTTAACTGCTAAGAAAACAAACACATTTAATGCATAGTTGAGTTTATTGGATTATTTTTTATAACTCTAATGAAATTGAATTCAAAAATTCTAAACGAATCAATTAAAAATACATCAAAATGTAACAGCACACTAAAATCGACAAAAATCATTTCATATTTGAACAAAAAAATACACTGTACAATAACATAAGAATTAAACAGCAAATCATTTACACACGCAAAAATAATTAGTACAGCAACGGAATTAATTCATTTCGAAATAAAATGAGATTTAAATTCAATAAACTGGACAACAAAATTCAATCATGTTGTTCTTTCAATTCAATTTCATTACAATGCAAATATAACTGAAAATTGATGAGATGAAAGTGACGAGAAGACAATTCAAAGTAAGATTTACGTATCATTTTTTCCTCTGACGTAGTGCGCATAAAATGAGGTAAATTACTTATTTAAACTGTCGCATATAAAATGAGCGATCCTTTGCTGAAATTCACTTATAGCCGAACGGGATGAATCAAAGAACCGACGAAATTTAGAGACTGACTGGCTTTTTCCCATCAAAATTTCACAAACAAATTAAGTTTTCGCGGATGAATTTCCGCTGCTCGTGCGATTATCCTACACTACCATCTTTCATGATTGTGACAATGCCACGCTTGTGATACCATTCCATCCAATGCAGATGAACAATGCAACTTGCATTTGGAAAGCAGTTAGAATCAAAATATAACAGAATTAGTTCTCTCGAAGGATGACTAAGCGGATGCGATAATGAAATGAGGAAGATTCCAGTAATGAAGCAATAAGAAACCTTTAGTGAAAGAAACGGGCAGAACTGAGCTCAGTGCGAAATGATGCAAATGAAACAGAAATGGAATAAAATGACGCAAGTCGTCAAGTTTAGTGTTTCGTATTCTAATATCAGAATTAGGACAATTGAATCGGTGATGCTTACGCGAATAAATGAACATTTCATGAGGTGAACAGTTCAATGTTCAAAACTGTCACTGGAATACTTGCAGATTCAACTGACAACTGAATTGCAACTAAATGAATATGAGTGGAATTCCGTCGAAGGTGATATTTTCTTCTTTACTTCACGAGTTACTTCATTTTGAAATTCAATCCAGAAATTCATGAATTAGTTTATTTTCAAATTTATTTCAGAAATTAATACATAGTCGAGTAAGAATAGTGGGAGAATTTGCCTTTTGGCGTTAATATTGCGTGAATTCACATCACTGGACGAATGTTTATACTGCTTTAAACCATCCAAAAATTAGAATAACAACGGAAAAAATATATCTAGACACGTATCACACCATCGAGTAAATGGTGGGGCAGAAGTTTGGCCGCAGTCATTGATTTATAATTTGACTGGATCTAGAGCATAAACAAGAGGAATTTAGGTATGAAATAATCGCTGAAAGTATAAAATACGGTGGTCTGAATGCGTTTCGGTTGTTTACAACTTATGTAGTGCACAATAATATTTTAGACCAGTGCTTTTCACAAGGAGGTAAATAACCCTCTGGAGTCTAATTTTGGGGTATCAGGAGCATAATGAAGGGCATAAATGAAGTCTCAAATTTTTCATCGCTGACGAATGCTTTCTGTCATTACTTTTCGTTCTTAGCTGCAGAAGCTGATACTTCGTCGGCAACTGATAAATAAGGCTCCAAAAATATTTGTTTCATTGCAGAGAATTAATTTCTTTCAAACCACCAAGAATTTCTGGACCGGTTCTCGATTTACTCCGGACGTTAAGCGTGGAAGTAGTAAATTCTTGCAGTGAGAGGAAGAAGGGGAGGGGGGGGGGAGTAATGACAGCCTGTCAGACCGTCGAAATGGATAATGGAGCTTCCAATCGTGAGAAACACCGCTTTAGACGGATAACTGTGTTGGTCATCTCTTCAGCAGTCAACGCTTTTCGGTTACATAGAAAGACCTTCTTATTTTTTAAGGGATGAGACAATTTTCTTGAGAGAAATTTCTTAGCTCACGATTCTGTGACCATTACCTGTAATGGATGAACAGACTTCAATTCAATTTTTCGACTTGTGAACGTCGAGTGGGTATTCAACAGAAGGGATGGATGAATACTGATTTCAAAAATAATTCAGTGTTCCACCAACCTTTCGTGAGTTTCTATGAATTTCAATGAATGAAATTGCTGAGTGAATAAAACGTGTAGATAAGTAAAAGAAAAAAGCTAAAAATAAATTGTTCTATCAAAATCTGCAAAATGCTTTTGGAAATTGAGTGAGCATTTTTATTGTTTGCTCGACTCAGTCCTAAATGCTTCTAAGATATGTGCTAATTGGATTCAGTAGCATGTGACAAATAAATTGAACCGGCAAATCTTGTAGGAAAATAAATGAACTGAGTAAACTTAATTGAATTTTATCAAATTAAGAATGAAAAGTAGTGTGTTCCCAAGTAATGATTGAAATTTTTTCGACTGATGAATATTTTGAAGTAGTGAAAAGAGGAATGAAAAGCGTAGATGTGAACAGTTAAAGTTTATTTGGACAAATGAAAGAATGTTGCACTGATTGCTTTAAACAGTCAACGCAACTGTCAACAACTGAAGCGATTCAAAGATGATCGAGCAGCGTGAATATCGAAATTTAAAAAAGCTGCACATTCGCTGAAACAAGAAATATAAAACACGAACTAACTGAGGTCCGATTGAAGTGCACAAACGAAAATTCAACAGATTGACAGAAAATACGCTAAAGAAGAGCAAAATGATAACAATAATATTCATATGAACAATACTAACTATAAAACGAGCTGAGAATCAATTTAGGGTGATCAGAACGATAGAAACATTTATTAGAGGGGAAGAAAAGCAAGCTGAAGAATGAGGGTGGCGATGTTACTGAGAATGTTGACACCTATTCAACATTTTTGGTTATAAGTATCACATGTTCGATCATTGCTATGTATTCGATTTCAGTAAACTTGTGAAATGAAGGATTTAATCAAAATGAAATCAACTCAAATTATTAAACAGAAGAAAACTCACTATCAGTGCATTCGGCAAAAAAACAAAGGAACAAATTTATCATGTGGCAAAATATTGCTCATTCAATTAATTTATTTCCTCGAAAAATTAATTCGAAGGTTGTTTCAACTGATATAATATTAGTGAATGTAAGACGAACTGATAAGAGGGAACGGGGACTAATGATAATACAGAACGATAGTCGGTAAACACCTTCAGTTGCGGGCCAAACGAGAAGCTGTTACGTGTAATTGAGTGTGAAGAATGTACAATTCTCATATTTTCGAGTAACATTTTACAACTTTTCTAACACACCTTAACAAGCTTCATATGGCCCTCAGATCGCAGATTGCAGACCGCTGCTTGACGTACAAATTGGTATTCCAATAATAATAACATAAATGTAACACGACTGTTGAGGAGATTTTGAATCAACGATGAATTAACTTATCTGAGAGTACCATCTTGTCCACATCAGCAAATACGGCTGCACCAACTTGCACTAGAGCTAGCTCATGACGCATCTCACGAGCCGTATGAAAATGTTTATCCAGTAATGATTGTGCCGGGAAGCCCAGAAATTCTTCAAACAAATATGACAGTTATCAACAATTCTTTCCCATCCTTATCCATTTATTATTCTTTATCAGTTACATTCATCAAGTTTTTATGAAAGTCGGTTTGTCTCCGAACAGCTTTCACAAAATAACACTTTTGAGAAATCAACAGGTCATAAGTAATTTGTCATAACAAATCAAAGTTCATAAGTAATTTCCGTTCGCTTTCACAACACTTCAATAATTTGAATATTTCTATATAGATTTTTGCAATTAGCTATATCACACATTCCCTCGATTTTTCTTCAATCATTTTCACTCGTAATCTCACCTGCTGATAATTAGTTCAGCAAATATTGATTAAACTGACGGCTTAGGTATCAAAATGGATGAATCAGTAACGAAAAAAAGATGAATCAACAAACCTAGAATGGCACTGTTCATTGCGTTTGCAGCTTTTTCCCGCATACTAGCATCCATTAAATAAGCCATTGAAGACTGCCTTGGAGAATCTTGGCAGATCAACGCGAAAGCGTCCTGTAAAACTAACTATACAATTACATTTCTATAATCTTTCATTCAGGATGCATTATAAAATAAGACATATTCACAGAGCCAAGACTTCTTGCACATAACTGATATCGCAAATAAATTCTTGGCTCGATAAACGTGCTCAACATGTCAAATGCAATCAATGGGTGATGAATTAGTTATAAATAAACAGATAACTTACATGCATACGATCAATAAGAGCTTCAGGCGGATCTTCCAGCTCTAAACTCAAAGCATGCACTGTTTTACCAAAATCCAGTAGACGTTGCATACGCTCATAAGGAACCAATTCAGCTTTCGTATATCCAGCTGATCGACATTCCTCTTCAATATCTTCCTCATGAATACGTTCAGTAATTGAATCTTCTAAAAATTGAGACAAAGACAACATATTAAAATCATTAATCCTGTCGCTACGATGCTTCGAGGTAATGAACCGACCAAGTTCTTCAGCAACGATTGTTGTTGCCGAAACATATGCATGCGATGAGGTGCCATTCGCTTCAGCCACTGAACCGTTGCTTCTTCCAAGTGAAAGACCATTTGATTCTAAAGTTGGCCATTGTGGACTATTTCTAATCAAATAGGTATGGAGTAATACTATTTTGAACCAATGAATGATTGCGGAAATCCATTCAGTAAACGAGTGGAGCTATTTCGGAAGGACTATAGAATCTGTTAGAAAAGAGGAAATTATATGAGTAGGCACTATAGTATTGATCAGTGCAATGAGAACTGAGAGCAACTGGTTCAGTTCGATGCATAATGCTACTGACATTAACTGAACGTGATGACAAATCTTATCAATCGGTTGAAATGTTGAACGAGAACAAGAAGGCATTGCAATCATACACACCGTGTGCAGTTGTTCCGTTTGATGAGACAGGCGTATGCAAAACAGTTTGAGGTAATGAATAATCTTGCTCCATTGGTTGCTCATCATCGTTCGATAGAACCACATTCTGACTGAAACAAACAACGATTACTGTTACATTATTGATGGAACTAACTTTGTTCGAGTTTTGCTGAAACTGAAACGGATTCGAAAAAAAAAAACTTATTGTGGATGCATAAAAATTATTCGAAGCACTTCTCTTTGCAGATTCATTCAATAAAAAATCAGAGACGTACAACGATTTTATAGCACAATGGCATCCATAATTGTTCAGTTCGATAAACAAATGCATACTTCTACACTGTTTTCAATTGATATACAACAATTCAACAGCACTATACTTCTAAAACGATTGCTCAAAAAAAGTAGTAAAATTAGCGTTTGTATACAATGAAAAATACCAGTTAAATTACAATATATGAATAGGACACAAATGTTAAAATTCCTTGCGTAGAAACAAACGAATGAACATACCTATTACCATTGGAAGCAGCACCCTGATGTGTGCTGAAAGAGGATGGTACGGTGAAACGATTACCGTTATCTTGATGTGAGGCTACTGTTGGTTGGAATAAACGTGCTGAGCCGCGACGTGACTGTTGAATGGATGGCACTGAAGAATGTAATCTTGGGAAATGATTACAGCCAGTGGTATTATTAAATACCAATATCGCTAGCAACTAATACATTTGAAATAAGAAATGAAATGAGACATGACTTAAACTGTGACCCAATGCACATGCAAACGAACAAAAGCCATTCAAAGACGTGTCAGCAAAAAACTAAGAAGGATGAATTCGACACCTTGACCACTTCTGCGTTTAAATGGATTTGGTGTCGCACCAACTGCCTCTATCGTCTTCCCATTCGAGCCAATGGTGTAAGATCGTCCAGTTTGAGTGAAAACTTGAGCAAATGATTCAGCAGCACCTTACAGCAGTAATAACAACGATAACTGAGCCAGTTTTATAAATGAATATTCAATGGCATTTAATCATAACCAGCAACGATATTAAATTATATAGAAATTATTCAGCAATACCGATTGTTCAATAATCAATGCTTAACTTAAGCACATTAATGGTAGTATTGGAATCTAGTTCTAATTTTATGAAATTATTAATGCATTTCCAACAGAATTCGACAGTTTCTTATTCAATGAATCAAATTGACGAAAAAGTTGTTACCTGAAGATGAATCAGGAACAGGTATATCTTTAAGTGATGATTGGTATTGCCTACTACTAGAACATGGAGTTGATGTCAACGGAGGAGATCTAATGTCGTTCGCTGAGGACGAAGAACAACATGACAGTACAGGATTGTCCTAAAAACAATCAACATTATTATAAGCATCTTACTTATATAAAGCTCGGTTTCCAGAATACAGTAGATGCAAACTAACTGTGTGTGACTTGAGTGGATACAATATCAGTGAAACAGATCATATCACAAATAATGAAAATAACCACCTGAACGAGTTCAACAAATATTTCTACAAATTGTTGGCATTTGAGCATGAGAGCGAGTTCTTTGTTACGTGTCAGTAAATGCGGATATAATTTGTCTATACGACTGATTGCTTCACCAACTTTACCCTCGACGACCAATCTGCGTAACACTATAAAATAAACAATTAATTGTTTAGAGTTCAACGATGAATCAGTTCGAATATTTTTTGCATTCACAGATGAGACTAACAGAAGCAATGTGCAAATGAACGAGCCAGCTATGATGATAATCGCACAGAACAAATTTTAGAAAAATGCGAAAGGATTTTAAAAGATAGCGAAATAATTTTTGGAAAAATAAACAACAACAAACTTGTTCGATTTTGCATTGACTCAGCAGATTCATTTGTTGTTGTGCAAAGTTCGGTGGCATGATGTGTCGTGTTATCATTCGGCTTGTGTTGTGTGGCCTTATGGAATGCAGCTAGGGCACGACTATATCCTTCATGCGCTAACCACGCAGCTATTGCACTTAATTGAAACTTTAGTCAGCCACCAATTTGCAATTAGAAATGATGAGCGTTCCTTTATTTCGATTCTTTACATTCATTCATTCATCCAAATAGTGCATGAAATATTCAGTTTGAAAGTGCAACGACATATACCCAAACATTACAGTTCGATTATCTTTTCACTTTCCAACTCACTGAATACTGCCAAATTTTTCTCTTCTTTCTTGTTCAAAACAAACACATTTTATAGGCATACGAATTCTTTCTTGATAAATCCAACTCAGTTATACACGACATATAATCAATGGAAGAAGCGTAGACAATGAATAATCATAATAATAAAATCTAACTGATCCATCCAGGAAGTCTTTGCTTGTGGTAATTCAACACTATAAATGCAATCATACGTGTAAGCAATGGCCTCCTGGAAAAAATAATTTGAAATATTTGTTCAGAAATCTAAATGAAACTTATATTCAATCATTATGGCGAATAATAGATTAACAAATACACGTTGAATACAAAACAAGGATTACAGATTAGATGATAACCAATGATAATCCTTGTTTTGTATTCAACGTTTATTTGTTAATTACGAGTGACAGCCACCAAATGAGTGAACCCCTACAGAATCGAAAAAATTAATGCCCATGAAGAAGTTCTGTTCTAAATAAACATTTGAATTTAATTTCACTTACTTGTATGTCTTGTTCAATATTGTATTTGAAAGGCTTTTGACCAAAATTTGTCTCTAGAATCTCGCCATGCTTTTGAAGACCAATCATTGGGTAAAGATCGACCACATTTGATAAATTACTTATCGCCGTACCTCAAAACACACGATCTTGCAGCTATTTCTTCATAATTCACATCCAATCATTATGGAATGTTGATTCATGGACATTCCAATAATCTTTTTCTTTGAAAATAACGCTTAATATTGCTCACGTATTGTCAGAATTTCAAAACACGAATTTTCCTGGCAAATAACGGTGAAAGGAATCGAGAAAATTCAATTCGATTAGCGAGAATTAAATGATTTATGAATGTGATATGACATATCATTGAATATAAATGAATTCCAATGATTATTTACCCAAGTTTGCACCATTTTTCGTGTAAAATATCGATTTTGACACCAAATTAATGCCACAACCGATGGTATCATTGGATGAGAATGTTGGACCATATGCGATCCCACTACCGGATGAGCAAAAGAAATTACCGTCATCACCATGGTAACCGTACGAACATTTATCCCAGCCTATTTGTGAGATATATAAAATAATTGCATCAAACAAACTGGCCGACGATCACAACGTAACTACTTGTTATCAGTCACAACCATAATGAAACTTATCGGACTGTCAATCACTGGCCGTCAATGTAATAANATGATACTTGTGAAATGATCATATAAAGTTACTGCAGCAATAATAAATGAACATAAACGTAACAGATTTCATTAAATAAATGAACATACCATATCAAAACAAAACTGAATAATAAAATGAACCTGGTAATCGATTCAAATCAACATTCTTTTCACATAATCCAATCCCAATGCAACAATCACTCTCGCTTGACACAACTAACACCTCAAAATAGAACACACCACATGTTACTGGGATTGGATGATCGGCACGCACCGCACCTGCATCTTTCGGGTTCTTTCCTTGGCCTGTAAGTACCAACGTCTAAATGTCACCTCCGACAAACCTAACAAAAATATAACAAATGATTCTAAGGAATACGAACTTCATAAAATAGAATTTTATACAATAAAAAAGTTGTTTTCAATAACCTGTGTATGTGACACGTAGCGAATCATTTGATAAAACCAACCAATTACATTTATCCTGCGCACTCCAAACATGTGGTAACGGTGTTTTCTGCAATTAAAAAACAAACAAGTGAACCAAAAGTGCTGTTTGAATCAATTAGTTACATCTTAAATGGAACATTCTCAAGATTTTCATTAATCAAATTCAGTTCGTTGCAACAAACTGTTCACTCAACAAAGAAACTAATTCAACGGATCTCAATTCACCGAACAAATAGATGATATCTCCTAAATTATTTTGTTTCTTTTAGTCAGTTAACAAAAGCAAGTACCATACATGTCAAACTCAATTCCGTTAGAAAATCTCTTGCATTGAAAAGACGAGGACCTCCCACAAAGAAGTCATCAAAATGAAAGATACTCAAAAATAGGATTAGTGGCTTCAAAATTTTCGCAATGGAATATGATCGCCGCTACCCTAGAAACAGTATCCACTATATTAGAACACTTTTGAGAAAATGACCGAACCCGAAACGATAATGATAAACTACTAAATAATCAATGAATAACGAGTAAAACGGTAACACTCTAATGCAATACTGAATGAGCATTTGATAATAAATTCAGACTATAAAAAAAGTAAAACCAACCTCTTGATCGACATATGGATAGAGTTTTTTGAGTCTTTCGCACACCTCAATGTCACCATCAGTTGATGACGACATCACAAAATCAGAAACTTCATTATTTTGTGCCATATTCTTTGAATTGTCCACACTTTCCAAATCCGCTTCATTGCTATCTTCATCTGACCTCTGTTTTAGATGAATTTACTTTATTGCTAATAATTATTTGTTAAATGATGAATAAATAATTATCTTACACCAAGACTGAAATTTTGCCGAAATTACTAATTGTACAATGCTAAATTTCATTTTGATATGCTGTATATTGTTTTTTTTTCACTCTTATTGCCTTCTCCCCAGCTGTCGTTGTAGCAGTATTTCGTCATCATGAATAATTAGGTCCTTTCATACGTTTTCAACGCTCATCGTGTGAAGAAACATTTTTATAGTCAAATTGATCCCATTAATTCGTCAGTTTACTCTTCCGATATTCCATTTTGAAAGATGCCTTCGTTCAAACTTGCATGAAAAACTTGCTTTCCTTATATGGATACATCGACGGAAATACATTTGAATTTTTTCTTAAAGATAGAGGATAGTTTTAAACAGTGATTGCTCGGAAAACATATTACTGATCAATTAGTTACATTTCATACATCTAGATCCCCTAATTTTATGATCACTTTAAGTCAACATTCCATTCGTTACTGAATGATAAAAACTCCTCAGTGGAAAAAACTTCATTCAATGAAGATGACATTAGTTTCTCTCTGAAACTTTAGTTTTTTCAGATTGAAAAGGAACTATATGATGAAGAGATTTTAAAAAATACATTCACTGCAGTTACAGCAACATCCATCATTCAAAACGGATACTTCGCGAGTGTTTGTTTCCAGCAACTGATCGAATGAATCAATTCGATTATCCTTGTGAAACGAATTTATCTGAAAAACATAAATATGAACATCATAACCGTACCACAATAACCCAGAAATGAGATAACAACGCTCATACATCGTGCGGTATTGACAAAAATCCTTAAGGATGGCGCTTATAGTGGGATGAATGGGTTTGTTGATGACCCAGTAAACTGTGCATTATCAACAAAATCTCTAATGGCAAGTCTTTTATGGCCCTTTCAAAAGACAAACGATCTCCACCACAAATCGAACTTCCACTTTTGTAACGACGGATCTACTTCACTTTGATGATGAATAATCATGACATTTCAAGTAATTTTCAATTAAAAACACCATATTCGTCGGTTTTGATGTCACAAATTTTACAATCTCTTCTCAATCTTCCTATCACGAGAAATATTCATTCAATAATCCACACAATTTTTACAGTGTAATATAACGGAAGTGAATTATGACGATCAAAAATATATCAAAACGCATGAATACAACTGCTGCAATATAAGAGTTCAGCACAGTGCGATGCCAATCGTGTTGAGAAAGCCGTTTTTAAAACATATCATACTCAATAGACTTATTCCGAACATAACTATATGTTATAAATTAAATGATCGATCTTGATCAAATACAATTATTATACACGGAAAGTCTCATTAATCCATCTGATGTATAAAATATAATGATGCAACAATTATTCTCATCAGTATTCTAATTTTTTTTAAGCTTATTTTTTTGATTTTGTTAACGATTTTTAAAGAATTGTATTTGCAAACTCATCACAACCATTCGGCAGAGGTTGAACGGTGAGCACGATAGCTCAGAGAAAGAGTACTCATCTGGTGATTGCTATGTCGCCGGTTAGATTCCAGCTCGCCGAGGGGAGTTGTGCTCGTGTCTTTGATGTTACCGAGATTGAGCCAGTTTATAATTTGGCTTGTGCTCAATTATCCCGTTAACATCACCAATATGTGATTTTATGGAAGTACTTTGGGCCTGTTGTGATCTGGTTAGGAAAACAGAGGAAGCGATAACCGTCCCGGGGTCATTGTGATTCAAAGATATGGTAAGTACTGGGTAAATGAACTGTACAGGAGTTAGGTAGAACAACTAATTAGAAGCAAGGCTAATCACTGGGGTGCTCAGCTCATTCCAATGAGTTGGGTGAGTTCACTTTGCTGTGCAAGAAAAAACTGTGTTCAAACTATGGCAGAAAAACTTCGGGAAAAATGATGACAACAATATTTTTCAGTACAGCAAAATCTCTCAGATGTGTGATATATCCTTGGATTATTGTCTACATCTCTTGATTCACAAATTTT